TTGACTTACAAGTAAGACTTAGTAAACATTTATTCACTCATTCAACATATAGGGAATATTTGGCGTTTTTGTGTATATCTGTTTTATTTTTGTGACTATTATTTATTTATTGATGAATAAAATAAAGTTTTAATTGGATTTTCATTTCATACAAACAGGTAATCCGAAATATAATAATAAATAATTATTTCGAGTCATAGAAAAGGGGTTGTCACAATATCCTCCTAGTGGTTTTCCTCATTGATATTTTGCATAACGGAGCTAAAATCTCGCAAAACATCACATCAATTACCCTTCTTGCACAATCTTTTACATAATAAAGTGGGCCATTGAATTAATGAAATATACAGGTTAGGAAAAAATATGCGAGCCATATGGTGCATTCTATTAATTGCAGGCCAATATTCGTACATCGGTAAATCGGTGAACATGTACAATAAATATACTCGTCAAAATAAGTATACCATACTTTGTATTTTTTTTTTATTTTTCTAGAATAATTTCAGACGGATGGAGTTTTGCGAAATTATGACCAATCGGCAGAATCAAAATAAAAACTTTTTAAAATACATTTTATTTACTGACGAGTCGACTATTTCATTGCCCAACAAACAATATCCATTCGTAGTGAGACATTCTTTTCAAAAAATAAACATGTAAGTATTCTGACATGCACACTCAGTATCCTCAGAAATGAAATATTTGCACTGGTTATTGGCCATTTTTCATTGATGGTAAACTTAACGGTCAAACATATTTAGATTTAATTCAAAATCAAGTTATTATTTTTCACTTGTACATAATTCCGATTTTAGAATCAGGGGAATTGCGTAAATATTGTATTTATTTAATTAGAGAGAACAATACCCTACAACAGTTTATGTATTACTAAATTGGAACTATTGGAACTTTCTTTAAGATTGCAAAAGAGGTGGTAGGCATTGTACACAAATTATGTAGAGATGGCTGTTCACTCGCAGTACCTACATCCAATGGCTCGTATACTTTTTTCCTAATATGCTTGGACTAGGACTACGAATTTCTGTAAATTTTCAATTAGTAATTGCTGGAACCAACGTCTTATCTTCTTCGCCGATCCATTAAAATGTTTGCCCTACCACCGCCTACATTTCGAAAAAAATTTATGTCGAATACTTTTGAGTATTTTCCGGGGGCGATAGATAATCCTCAATGCTCTTAAATTTGCCTTGGATCAAAAATGGTCCCTAAGCTCTCTTTATCGCATACCGGTGGACTCGCCCTACTGAAGATTTTTAGGCACTTTTGTCACGATGGATGGTCTGTCCAAAGTGGAGACCAACTATGACGTATGATTGTCTAAGATTCAAAAATTTTACGTTGAAGACCCCCAAATCCTTATGAGCAACATTCAACGAAACTAGGGCCTTGTGGAGGAGCATGGGCCTATGAATATTATTATTATTATTATTAAAAAAATAATGCTCTTATAGAGTTTTAAGAAAAAAAAACCTTTTTGAATAAAGTTCTGCGATAATTCTTTGCTACTCTTTTTTTAAGAGAAAGAGGATACCTCAGGGTGGTTCTTTATAAATTTTATCAAGATCAAATAATGGGGATTCATGAGAAAATCATCAAACTCTAAATTTGTTATGTACTTTCAGGTATAATTCTTTACCACGTTGTCCGATTTCTGTGATTCTCTTTTTGTTAGAAAGGGAATACCTCGAGGATAGTTCCGAATACAGGATCTAATGATCTATGAGAAAATAAAAAAAATTTTAAGGGCATATACAGGATTTTGAAGTCGGTTTTTAAAATTACTTTTATTACTTGAAAAATATTTGAGCGTGGATTTTTTCGTATACTATATAACTTCGGTAGTCCGGAAAAACATCGTTCCAGCATATGCCCGGACTATCGAGGCGTCAGGATTATTAGAATGACTTATGACTTTATTTGTTTTAATAGTTAATACAACTCAGAATTTACCAAAAATTGTAGTTTATTATAAAGTTAATTAAAAATTATAAAAAATGTGTTTTCTCATAGAATGAAAGTACAAAATCTTTAACATAAATATGATGATGATTTTCTTTGGGGGACATGTTTTAATGTATATTTGAGGCTTGAACCAGCAACCCCCTATGAGGGGGCACTTCAACCCCTCAAAATTGAGTAGGGAAGAGGGGTTGAGTGGTACTTCATTTGTAAGGTCTTGGAAGCCTCTTTACAACGGTGTATGAACAAAATCACATTCTTAAAAAAAATTAATTGTTTTATCATGCTTACAATCAAAAAAATCAAAACTGCTTTTTAAAATCAAATGTTCAAATTGTCCTCCATTGACTTCCATACAATAATAAATTCTCTCGAACTAATAAATAAAAAAAAATCAAAACATTTTCTTGTCTTCCTTCATTTTTGTTCTTAGAAGGTGTTTATCACGTTTCTTCGATCATTTCATGTATTTAAAATCAATCTGCTTTGCCCGCATTTAGTAATGTTTTCATTGTTTAAGTTATCTTCTGGATCAATGACACTTAAGGATTCGGTGATTTTTTCAAATCTTCCGACTTATTGGATAAAGTTTTTTTTGAAGATCCGAGAGTGAAATATTCTCGTTAACTGATTTTTCTGATTCCGTAATATGAGGCCACAAACGGTGTCAAACTTCTAATATTTATATCAAAATTTATGCAAATGTCTAAAATTAAGCTGTAAAATATTGTAATACTGTTGTTACCAAATGGCTGTATCATCCTAGCTATGTAGGCTAATAAATTTATTAAAAAAAAAAATTTGAATTTGTCAATTTTTTAAAAAATTTTATCTTTTGATATTTCAAAAGTATTCAACAAAATGGTGAAACGATTTAGTGATCAATTAAAAACTTTAATCCTAAACGTAGTTGCCTATTTTAAGTGACACAAATCTATCTGCGAGTCTCTTGGAAAGAGGTACAATCAAATGGCTGCAAAGGCATTAAATATTTCGCAAAAAACTATCTATAGACTTAGTAAACCACCAAATTCTGATACAGATTTTGTGAAAAAGTAAGCCAAAGTAAAACAAAAGTCATCATTTAATATTAGGTAAGTTGAGGCAAGTTATATATGTACGAAGGTGCGCAACATATGTAACAATGAAATCGTTACCTACATAAATGATTTTCAGAAGAAATGTATTACTGAGGTTAAATTTTTAAAAAGTCAGAATAACAGAGCAGTGTCCGTATTAATGGAGTGTCTGGGACTGTTCAAATTATCGAAGTTTACCTGTACTCTACGACTGCCATTCGTCCGGATTTCCCCGAACTGTTCCTAGTTCGGACGGCACCCGGATGAAACCTGGACACTTATTGTCACAGACGGAAACTTGATTAATTGAATGATAAGCAATACAATTTTTTTGGGCCAAACATTGCTAAATAAATCGCAAGGAAGCTGCTTAAATTAACACGTTGATGGACAGTAGGAAAAAGTGGTTGGTGCCGAAAATGACTTTTGTGCAAATTAGGACTCGGTTTGCCTTATAAAGTATAACAAACTGCTCAGAATTTGAAACGTTAAAATTTTTTGATTTACAGGAATTTGAAAGTTGACCCCGAAAGACGTCCTACCACATTTGAAAAGGAAAAATTGGTGCAACTTCGATAAAAGTATTGTTCAAAAAATTATATAAATCGGGGCGTATCCAAAAAGGCGGAAGCGTCCCCCTCTGAATTCTTAAAATGTTAAGGTTTATATTTTTATGATCCTCTAAAATACTTTTTTATTTCATTTATTGGCAAATATAATAAAATATATTGAAATAGGAAACTCCCTCTCAGTTTCCAGCTACGTCACTGAATTAATATTAACAAAGATCTATTAAACATTTTTTTTTAAATAGAAGCTCAAACAAAGGGTTAAGGTAAAACACATACACAAAAAACACTGGAAATATGTCACGTTTAACAAAATTATGAGCCTATAAAAACGGCGGTATTATAATGTAATCAGTCTTAAATGTGGCAGGAACCATGCTCCCTTAGCTTTTTATGGTAGAATTGGGACGCCAAAAGACGTTCCTTCGTTTATCAGCGATATTAATTTGAACGCTGGGCGGGGTCGTGCCCATTTGACACATCAGCAAACACGCCGATTGGCATCACTGTCCATCAACGTGTTAATAAAATAAAATTAAAATTGTAAAAAAAAGGATGTCCGGTGGAAAACTGAATTTTACCCAAATGTTTTTTCAGGTTTTGTCCCTTTTCGGCAATGTAGGTGATAACAGGTCTATCTGTACTTATGAACCATGCTTTAACAGATTGGAAATTAAAATTCAAAAATAGGAAGGAGAGGGGACCATTAACGTATGAAGCAAGGGCCCACCAACATTTATAATACGCTTAAGAAAAAGAGGAGTAATCCTGAAAAAAATGGATTTTAAACGTGTTATGCGTTATCCATAATCTAATAAATGAACAACTGAATGATGGTTAGAAGACCAAATAATTCGATGTGGGTCGTAATTGCGATATACAATTAATATATTTATACCATCATTATTATAATATACCACTGTACTTCCACTGATTTTTTTTGTCCAGTTCTTCCACTGCAACCCCTGGGTGATAGAAAGACAAAGCGCTTAAGTCACTAGAGGAGCAGCCCTAAACGACAACAGCCTGAAGGAGGCTATGCTATTGGAGGAAGTGTTTTTAGTGGGTAGGCACTTGGGCGCGATTAAATAAAGCAACGGGGGTCCAAAAGGATATTATCTCCATACAAAAAGATACCAAGCAGGAATTTATTTTATATTTACGCCATTTTTTTTTTCGTAATTTCTGAAGGGGATTCCAGTTCGATGAGACCGACACGCGTTTCATCAATTGATGAATAACCCAAATACCATTTGATCTATCTCGTTTCGTCGCATAAGTCGTGCTAAATTGGCCAATTACCTAAATTGTTAAATGCATTAACCTAACGCCGAGCATCGCGTACAGGAAAAATATGACTAACATACAACTCTTGAACCTTTTAATTGTCGCACGTATTAGGCAAAGGCCAGAAATTCCGATTTCATTATCTCAAAGTGTAGTGAAACTGACAATTTGATAAGAACGAGATAAGTGTTTCCTTTTATTAACAATCTCCTCGTTCAAATGTGTACATTGTGTCACTTTTCGTAACGACAAACCTACCAGAAATAGAGCCACACAAAATAGTAGCGTATAATATGTGATTAATAAATTAAAAAAAAAAATGTAAGTACCTGAGTCTGTTTTATTAATTCGAAATTAATGCGTTTTTAAATGCACGAAGATGGCGCTACATTTACTTAATTTAAACGCCCTTTATTTTACGTCATCACAGTTTATATACCTTATTAAATGTGCAATTAGATAGGGTTGTTGATCAAGGAAATTTTCGTTTTAAAGTTTAAATCATCCAGTCATCAATAAAATAGATCTCGTAATATTTTATCATTTTTTATCTATTAAGGATCAAGTATTATTCAAATATGACGTTAAAGGACCCCGCGCTTTTCTGATTCAAAATGGTTTTCCATCGAATATCATACATTTTGGATATATCGTAGTATTTGACCACTAGACCAAATATGTCCATGGGCCTACTTAATTCTTTTGGCTAGTATTTAAGGTACACATTGTTAGAGTTAAAAAATCCTATTTTTTTTGTAATCTTATAAATAATGAAAACGAATTAATTTATATTTTTGATTGCTATAGTTTTTCAACCTTTTGTAGAGCGAGCAACCCCGAGCACTTTTATTTTTCTGAGGAACTCTTAGCACCAAAATATAAGATATTTCATTTTTCATCAGATTAACAACGTCTTGCTACTTTTCTAGCTTCCAAATACATAAAATTATAATAAAATCAAAAACAACCCCAAACCATGGGGTTCCGCGGAACACAGGTTGAGAAAGACTGGTCTAATATATAGAAAATTTACTTATAAATTGTTTAAAATCTTCACACATTGCACAATAATGTAATACAATTTTTTAAAAATTTTGAGAAATTTTGATTTGATATAAAAGCAGGACATGGATAAAGGTACCAAATATTTTTACATGGGCAGGCTTAAGGGGCAAAGGGCCCAAACATTTTTTCATGGTTAAGCTTAAAGGACCAAAGGCCCAAATAGGCAGGCTTAAGGGTTAAAGGGACAAGATCCCAATAGACACAGTTAATCGGCACCGTAATTGGACCGAAGGAGGATTGCCTGATGCCGGACTCGGCCCGATATACGGGTACATCCTCGGCATATAGGCAGGGCATGTCCGCCCAGCCGAATATCAGCAGCCCACTAAATTGTAGCCGCGTTTATATATCTATATGTAATTCGGCCCGTAAGGATGCCTCCCATGCCCAGCTAGCCAAATATTCACCACGTTCGGCCCGTAAGGATGTTTCTCATGTCTGGAATGCCAAATATGGACCATGCGCGGTTTCTACTTTAAAATTACGTCAAATGGTACGGTTCTCCCGGCTCAGAAGAACCCCCGACAACGGCAAGCCGAGTACGCGGCTTCCCGTACATGCCGGTGTCAGGCCGAGTGAAAGCCGACTATTTGTGGTTTACTGGGATATTTCGGCATAGGTAAACTTAATAAGTAAGGGGCCCAAATATTTTTACATGAGTAGGCTTAAGAGGTAAAAGGTTCAAATATTTTTACATAAATTGAACAAACAATTTGTAAACCCTAATTAAAAGGCAACATGGAATGGTTCTTAAAAACCAGGGCTAGAATGTAAATAAGATCATCTACGTAGTTTATTAATAGGTACTTAATACTCGTCGACTTTTGGTATTTCGTTCAAAATCAAATCGTTTCTCGTTTCTTTTATGCTACGAGCTTGCAGGTCTCGATAAGGTGGGAACCATCAATTTAGCATTTCTTCATAACCAAAACTATGAAAACATATTAAGAAAAACTTGGTTTCCAAAAGATACGACTCTGAAAAGGGGGCGTTAAAACTTATTAGAATTGTTAAATATCTTAGCTACACTTACAACAAATTTTGATTTATATTTTCTTTAAGAGGAAATCTTCTCTGGAAAGATACATTTGATTTAGCAAAAAAAATAGAGGGAATTATTTTGCCTCAAAAGTAGTTACATATTATTATAATAGTGCTAATAAAGGACAACAAAGCAATCTAAGTCGGTCTATTATCAAGTAAGAGAATAACAGCGAGATATACAGGGTGTTTCAAAAAGGTATGTCATAAATTCTTCCTCAGATATATTACCAAAAAATAAGTGGATTTGGCTATATTTACCTATAAAAAAACTGGCTCCTAACAAAGTTACAGGGCGTTAAACTAACATTCAAAAAAACTTTTTTTTTTGTAAAAAGTTTGCTGTTGCGATTTTTTTTGCCAATGATGTAGATTTGAAGGTCCAGTATTTTAAGGAGAAAAAAATTTAAAGCGACCCCCTTAAAAAAAGTTGAGGGTTGGGTATTTTTTAACTTCCCCGAATTTTTTGACATAAAGAAACTTGCTTTATCGATCTTAAAATTAAAAAGAACTATTAATTTTTAAATTTTTTTTATAGTGAAATGAACTTATTTGTATCTTTCTTAGTTAACGAGCTATTTACAATTTTTTAACTGAATTTCTATAGCAATTCGTCCGTCCTGGACTTAACATATCAACAAAACTAATAGTAGGTCAGGAGTTATTGTACAAAAATCAGTGGTGTGTCTAGGGCTGCGCTTTAGTCGCCCCTGCAAAAACTACCTCTTTTATTTATATTTTTGTATTCAAGAAGGAGAAGGACATGTTGAACATTTAAAATTAAATAGTTTATAAAATATATATAATAATTATTGTCAAGTGTTTATTTTTAATTGTTAATTTTTTGTTGTTTAATTAAAAAAATATATTTTTGAATTACTATTAAATTTAATAGATACATTTCCAAACTAACGTGTATTTTTATCATATTATAAATACCTTTTTTACAAAAATATAAATAAAAGAGGTAGTTTTTGCAGGGGCGGCTTAAGCACAGCCCTAAGCACACCATTGATTTTAATATGTGTTTTTGTATAATAACTATAATAACTGATATGTTAAGTCCATGTCGGACGAATTGCTCTAGAAATTCAGTTAAAAAATTGTAAATAGCTTGTTAACTAAGAAAGTTCATTGCGCTATAAAAAAAAATTAAAAATTCATAATTTTTTTAGATTTTAAGATCGATAAAGCAAGTTTCTTTATGTAAAAAAATACGGGGGGTTAAAAGGTACCCAACCCCCTAACTTTTTTTAAAGGTGTCGCTTTAAATTTTTTTTCTCCTTAGATTATTGGGCCTTTAAATCTACAGCACTGGCAACAATTTCAATGAAAAACAGCAAACTTTTTTCTAAACGCCCTTTAACTTTGTTGGGAGCCAGTTTTTGATACAGGTAAATATAGCCAAATCCACTTATTTTTTGGTAATTTATCTGAGGACGAATTTATCACATACCTTTTTGAAACACCCTGTATATTAACGTAGCTAGACCGTTTAAACGGACAACGTTGATATTATTCGTTTCCTGTTCGGCCTAATGCTAACTCTCTGTAATTTTCAATTTGACATTAGCAAAGCATATTGGAAAGCGTTCAATAGCCGACACTGTATTTAGAAAACAATAATTTAGATATTATGAACCCTAGCTATTCCAATTATTAATACAAGGATTAGCAATGTGTGAGTTGATTTTTTAAGGGAAAGAAAATAAAATCCCCATAACACAGTGACATGTATAATGCGACAGGTTTCGAAGTTATAATTTACTTCATCTTCAGGCACGCCTAGTGGATAAGAGAAAGAATACCTTAGTGAACTATTAGTACAGAATGGAACCAATTTTATTAATTAAATTTAAACTAACATTACTGTCATGGAAATGCCTAAGCCGTCCCTGTAGAGCGCGACCTTGAAGTCTGCTACCCGACTCACAGTCGAAACCCCGGAATATTCTAGGTATACCGCTGTCGCTTTGAGAAACTAGCGGAGTGATCTCTTTGCGGCGTATGAGTCATAGAGAGGCAGTTCTCAATTGTTGTAGAAAACCCGAGCCAGAGACAACAGAGACGTGTAACTTAATAGGAAAATATGTTCGGTGGTCCATTTAAATTACATATATGACCCTCTTTTTCTTTTACATTGATCTTTACATATGTCTATCTCTCTCCAATAAAACTAACACCATTTTCAGAGGGCGCTGGTGTTGCTGGTTTTTTGACGTAGAAATATCGATTAAAAGTATTAAAACTGACAACTGACAATGTTATGAATGTTGTTATGAACATGTGCATTTTATTAAAATTAATTTAATTTGGGCCCCGTATATTTCTTTTAGTCTGATTTTGTTGTTTAATTAATTTTCTTTGGGGGGGAATGTTTATTTTTGCATATTACCTATTTTTTGCATGAAGCAATTTCTGGAACCAAACTCGCGTTTTTGTACACATTTCTTTCTAGAGGTAAGTAATTTCCAATTTATTAAGAAAACCACTGTATAATGTGTGTGTTTAATAATATATTACACAATGACTATAATTATTTTAGGTGAATTGGAACAGAGATCCATTGTTACAGCTACTTGTGTTCATTAAGTAGGTAGATGAATGTCTGGACAGCTTTAATGGCAGCACAAAGTTCCTATCTACTAGAAAAGTAAAAAAAATCTGCACATGTAGTATTGGCAAAGGACTTTTGAAATTATTAGAGATTAGCTATTTCTTACATACACCTACCTCTAACAGCCACTCTAAAGGAAGAAAAAAAAATTGAATCACAAAAGGGCAGAATTTTAAATCAGGATGCATTGGAAAATAAATTTGTTGACATCAAGTCGGTTTTGGATTTTATAGAGAGATCAATCTCAAGAAAAGTTAATTTATCCTGCAGAACAACCAGTAGTTTAAGTAGGATTTGCTATAACTATTAGAAATTTTCTTTGATAATAAATTGTAATATAGGTACCAATTATTGTTTTAAATGAAATTGAAAAAGAGTTAAATATGAAATTAGATTTTTCATGAGTAAAATGTTATATTCATTTGAACATTGTAAGGTAATCTATAATTAAGGGAATATGGAAAATAGGTATACCCTGGTGGTGTAAGAGAAAGGTAAGGGGCAATGACAAAAAAATTACAAAAATGTATTTATCTTTAAATAGTGTTTATTATTAATAATATTATTTGCTATGTTTGAAAAGTATCTCCTGCTTCTGAACAGATCGAATAGATCAGACTACTACTTGGAGAAGGTCCACCTAGTAACCAAATTAGGAGACTAGGAAAACTTTTACATGACTGGGGACACAACAGGAATGCACATACACAAGATACACAAACAAACGAAATAACAGGGGTAAGCCTTCAGCAACGTCCTGTTTAAATGATGATAGTATGTCATCCTTCATTCCCTTTTAGAAGGCATGGCATATAAATATATTGATCTTGATTACTATAAGAGGAGTTAGCAGGGGTCTAGCAGGTTTCGATCCAGTTTACAGGATGGGAACTTACTTGACTCGGGCCTTATACATTTGTGTTGAGTGTATGTGTGTTTCGTTTCCATGGTTTCTATTAAAATAAACAGAACATAAGTGACATTTGTTCAAATGGCACTTATGATAGTCTGGCAAAAAGGTATCGATACTATACTTTATAAAATATTTGTTACATTAGTTTTTAAATATATTGTGAATATATAACAACTGTTACTTTCTTTGTAATTTGTCACACAATGATAGGAGGTACTTTCTAAACGAAGCAATTGTAGTTTGTTTTTCTGTACCTTACAAAAATATAATTTATAGAAAAAGAGTTTGGTGTATTATTTTTCAAAGTTTAAATATTTAATAATCAATAGAATTTTCAAGTTTTTTTTTAGCGAAATTTACAAGAGTAATAAAAACTATGTTCACTGTTTATATTAAACTGATTAAAACTTCCTTTATTAAAATGATTATTTGTGATAAAAAATTTGATGTTATTGGAAGCTTCTATATTTTTTTAATATACAGTGAAACAATAGTTTTTGTTTCTCCTGTAAATTTGTATAGAAAAACTTTATTTCTGAATCCATGTTTGAATTTCCCGCCCTAAAGCATTTTTAATTTTCCCGCAATTTACTAGTGGCGCCATCATAGACTGGTTGTGGTTACAATCGCCCAAATAACTTTTACCGAACAAAAAAAATACATTGAGTTACACGTCTCGCTGGATTGTCTCTGCCCGAGCACAGTTTATAGCTAAAGAATCAGTTCGCTCACTCTGCTTCGGCACTTTTGATCTCAATGTTCGAGTTTATACATTGCGCAACTCGGATTTGTATCCCTGGCGCATACAGATTCAAATCATAATAGCCCATGAGCCCACTACAAATTTTTATCGTCATCTGATAACAAATTGAAATTTACCCCAAAGAATGTACTTTATCAAATGGCACCTGTACCAATTCCAATCCTGAGCAAAGGGGTGAAAAAAAAATATATGTATATTAAAAAAATCACATAAGGCATGACAGCGCTGATTTTGTTTGCCCTTAAAGTTTTACAGAAAATAACATATTCAAACATATCGTTAAAGGGAAACATTTTCTTCCTCTTAACATCGCACAAAAACATCTATCCACGATTAGTAGGTAAAAATGAATAAAAATATCTTTGCTGATTTGAAAATTTATTTGTATGCCTATTGTTGTAATTCATTTTTACAGGTTGCCATAGAAACGACAAACCTTTCACACATACACATGGTTTAAATAGTAGGTAAAAATATTAATAATTCAGGTTTAAAAGCTAGGTTCACAATGAATTAGGATTGCAATTTTCAGGGAAAACACAATTGTCGTTGTCATGTCTTATGTGATTTTTTGAATATAAAATAAAATTTTTTAACCACTTTGCTCAGGATAGGGATTGACACAGGTGCAATTTGGTTGGTGCATATTTCATTTCGTTATCAGATGACGGTCGAAATTTGCAGTGGGCTCTCTTACTATAACCAATACAGTATGACAACCACCTATATTCAAACAGCAGTCTTCTGCGCATCCTGAATTTGTATCCCTGGAGTGGATGTTATTTTGGATCATCCAATTGGTCCGAGTGAGCTAAAACTGATCCTTTAGCTATAAACTGTGACGCGAGAGTATTCTCGCACAGAGTTGGGCTTTATATAAATATCGCGAGTGGTCGATGGAAAAAAAAGTTTTTAATAAAGTGTTGGAGAGAAAAGATAAATTGTTATAAATAAATTAGAATTGTGATTTATTATAGTGCATAAGTATTATATAAATTAATGAGTACGTCATAAATAAATTGTAAATAGTATTTTAAATAAATAAACTATAAATAAATTAAATAAACGTCACATTACTAATACTATTTTAATTTTTATGTATGTGTAAACTTATTAAACGGTTGAATGTTGACTAAATTGAAAAAATTATGACGTATAAATTATATATATAAAACTTCACTATATTCTCTTATCCACTAGAGTAGGAACTAATGAGTACATCATTGGAAAAATTAACATAAAAACACTAGAGGCAATTTCATATAAATAGTTAAATATTATAGCCCTTAACTGTAGAAGTATATTAGATGTATGATATATTTTTTTTACCAATCCAATACACGTAATTTTATTTTTTTGTAGATTCTCACGAGTTATAGTTATTCATTTGTTCATTACTATTTTAATTACCATTGCACGGACCTTAAGTACAAAGGTCAGTTTGTGAAAATCCTGTCAATAAGCATGTCTTTGAATATTTTGTTAATGTTTTGCACTCTAGCTGAGCGTCATATTTGGTTCCGAGAAACCTGCACATTTTAGATGAACATTTGTTACAAATCCAGCAAGACGGAGTCCCTCCTCAATATGCTGCTGAAGTAAGAAATTGGTTAGACATTAATTATTAGTAATGGGACTTTCCATGAAATGTAATTTTTGGACTTGTCCGACGGACATGTCCGGAAAAGTAGTGAAAAGTAATGAAAAGTGACAATGAAAAGTAGCCGACCTTGAGCATAGAAGACACAAGTTAAATCTTTGACCATTTTTGAGACATGTTTCAAAACACTCTGTATAAAATAACTTAGTTATATCGTATTTATTCGTTATTTTATAAGTCTATTTTAAACAATTTTAAAATCATTGTTAAGCTATCTAAATTATGATAATTTAATTTGGGGTCTACATCATTTTCCAATTTCATAAAAAAATTCATTACTAGGCAACCCTATAATATTTTTTAAAAAATTCTAGCGTTAAATACGGTATTACCATTCTAAAAATAAAATAAAATAGAGGGTGTTTTACTTAAAAAATATACAATTTTAAATATCAGACAAAAATGCAACACCATGTATATCTAAAAATATTTTTAAAATATGTATTTTAAAAGGCCTATAACTTTTATTTTAAACATGTTTGCGTGTCTATAACACAAATTGAAATTACGCACTAATGGGACACCCTGCAGTCTACCTTGTAGCCTCAAACGTACATTATATTATATTTTGAGTATCATATTATAATAATACAAATATTTAACTATTATGTTAAGAAAACTACTAATGTAAAAAGGCCAGTAAGCCTGTTTGAGTTTTGATGAATAAATAAATAAATATGCAAAATAAAAAAGTTTAATAACAAAAAATATAGAGAAATGCTAATTTAAGTAGGTATAGAAAATATATTATTTTAATAAATTTGACATGGCAAAATAAGGATAATACAGAAAATTATTTTTTGTATTTGGAGGAAAGGTTTCTGAGAACTGCTTGATAATAAATAGAGTAACAGATAGTTCCCTCTACAAATTCTTCCAAAAAGTAACCTTTTATACTCAAGGGTAGTTATGCCAAACATTAAAAAACATAGGTATCTTAAAAACTCACATGTGCGTTATCAGCATTTGACTGAGCGATATTTTGACGCTCATATGCGTGATTAGCATGCAACGTGTTAACATTGATTACGTATGCCTGTCTCCCTCATGCTCCCTCTATCTATCCTAGCTATGTGAAATGGACTTGGGAGTACAATTTTACGTCTCATCCGAAAGACGGCACTCCCTTACTACATCTGGTACTCATTTAATAAATAGAGGATCAAGAAGGGCTGCACGAAGAAATATGTTTTTATTAATTAAGAAGAAAAACAATTCCATATTATTAATTACTTAAGTTTCTTTATGAATGGTAAAACAAGTTGTCAGTCAACGCTTGCTTGGTTAGGTACTATAAATAATGAGCCGTCCTCGTAGTTATTAATAATAATGATTGTGTCTATGCCATTTTATTTTTAGTTTCTATTTACATATAACTAGGCGTGTAGTTTAATTGACTTAATCGTACTCATTCATCACACTTTTTTATTTTCAATGCAACCGAATCTTAAAAACAAATTCGTAAATTTAATATGTATAAGAAGATATAATTTTGACGGAAAATGCTTATTATTTAACAATTACATTTACTTTATATTTTTGTTTTAGCTGTCACCATGACTAGTGTGAAGATAACGGTGGTAGGGGATGGTATTGTGGGTAAAACCTGCATGTTAAGTACTTATACAACTGGGGAATTCCCTGCGGAATACGTACCGACAGTGTAATTATTTTATTTTACAAAATATACCAAAATAAAACAATATTATACCCGACCTAAGGTTAAAACGTAACGATTTTGATATTTTTAGGTTTGAGCATTATGGACAAAAAATTACAGTTGATGATATCGAATATGATATGACTTTATGGGATACCGCAGGTCAAGAAGATTATGAAAGACTTAGGCCCTTATCTTACCCCCATGTAAGTTATTTATTTTAAGAAAACATATTTATTATGAATGAAAAATTTGTAACGTGTTTATAGGGGCTCAAAAAAATACTCAATCAGGTTCTGTCAATTATCGATTGCTTTTAATCGATTTAATTATAAAATTTCACTTAATACCTTTTACCTACTAAAAAAATACATATACCTAACGGGAAAGTACAAAAAAGAAAAATATATTTATTAACTTAATTTAAACATGATAATGGTATTATAATTATTATTTTATATTCTTAAAATATATTTACCTCTAATGTGTAGGATTCCAGAATTCCTTCAATATTAGAAATTAGGGCGTCTGAACTAAGCATTTTTATTCTTTTTACAAGTTGTTTAGTTTAATTAATTCGAAATTAGCTATAGAAAACTAAATAATTGTACGACGTCTTAAATGAAGGAATTAATTCTTTAGGCAGTCAGCGATTTTTGACAGATGGCAGCCATTTAATATTTAATATTTTTTTCATAGCCAACTGAGATCCGGTATTTTGAGATTGATTCTTAAATTTGATTAATTCTTAAATTATAAATAATGATTTAAATCTGATTAATCTTAAACTACAAAATAAATATGTTATCATTGTTATCATAATTGTTTTAATTTCAGACAAATTGTTTTCTAGTCTGCTTTTCTGTTGACAAAAATTTGGCTTCTTACGACAATGTATCATTAAAGTGGGTACCAGAAGTCCGACATTTTAGTCCAAATGTTCCAATTATATTAGTAGGTATGTAAAATTAATATAAAAATAATTAATTTGAAGTGTATCTAATCTCACTGCATTGTTTACAAAGTTCGTTTTGTTCAAATATTTGAATTTTACTTTAACAACTTGTTGAAAAGGGAGTTTATGGTTGCTGAGGTTGTGACAATCAGTAGAAGCGGTCAGTGGCGTACCTATCTCCTTTAGTTTGAAAGTTATTAATAATATAATAAATTACTATAAATACAGAGTGTGCTCTACCCCAGAGAGTTTCCGCTAATTCAAATATTTTGATATAGGAACATGAATCATTAAAGAGCTTAGTTACCGAGACACCGGATGTTAAAAGTTTGAAATCAAAATTTAAAATTTGCCATAAATCAAAAACGTCTTTAAATATTTTTTTTTTCAAATTTGTGACCAAATATATTTTTTCATTTATTTTTTTTTTCAAATTCTCTGTGCGTTTTTAGTTAAATAATAACATTTTATGGAGCTAAACTGAACGGATGTTGTAGAAATTTGCTTCTAAACAAAAGTCTGCATGTAATGACTCAATGTTTTTAAATTCTAATCTAGTAAGCACTTTTGTCAAATTTGTTAATAGTTCGTGTATGCGCTAGTTCAGTGTGATGTATTTTGGTTCCACTGACATTTAATTCTAACCAAACTTTTAACAAAAACATCAATAAATTTGACCTATACGTTTTTACTGTGTTTAGTTTATTTCTAAATATTGTTAACAAGTCATAAAAAATAGTTTAAAGGTATGTAATTGATAACTAAGCGATTGTATATTTAATGCATGCTATCTACGTGAAAGAACGATATAATTTAGGTACACAAAACGAATAAAACGCACTCAAAAAATCTACTGTCACTTTAATTGTCAGTGGAACCATAATTACATCATCACTGAACTAGCGCATTTGATAAGATCTTAGTAGAACAAATTTGAAAAAAATATTATAGAACCTTGTATCTTGATAACTAAGCCCTTTTAGGGGTTTATGTTTCTATACCAAAATTCATCAATTAGCGAGAGCTCTCTGGGCTAGGACGTTGTTGGTCGAATATATACTAACACCAAGGGACTGAAGTGGCACTTTTTATCCCGTAGCGGAAAAAGTCACTTCAGTCCTGTGGTTTATACGCTATTTTATGCACTTTAGGAAAATAAAAACTAAAAAATAGTGAAACATGAAAAAATACTTATCGATACTCTAATAAAGCAATGACGATGTCAGTGCAAGGGTGTTATAGTATTGACGTATTTTCGGTTGTATAGTATTAGTGTACTTTTAAACCCTCTCTAGAAAGTAAAAGTACCATTTTAGGTATACTTTTAGTCCCTAAAGTGCATAAACAATGTTTATTTATTTCTTTAGAGTATTACGAGTAAATTTTCCCATTTTTATTAGAACTCTCAATGTTTAATGTTTTCAGCGACCAAAGTAGATTTAAGAAATGATCCCAGTCTGGCTTGCTATTCGCCCGAAGAAGGTAAAAAACTGAAGAGAAAAGTCAGAGCTCAGGGTTACATGGAGTGTTCAGCCCTAATGTTTCAAGGCCTTGAAGAAGTCTTTATTGAAGCTGTCAGGGTATACAGGAAGAGCAAAAATAAAACACCAAGGACAAGGCAATGCCGTATTTTGTAGATTTTTTTCTGGTTTGAATGATTAGACGTTTTATAAAAAAGGCTATTCTTTAGAAAATGTAAATAAATCCAATGTCATTCGAAATATTTTTGTATAATAATCGATCTTGTAAATAGCAATAAACATAATAACATTTATGAGATCATGAAAAGTACAAAACTATTTCAAAAAAATACAAATTTTATTTTTTGTTTATAAATTAAAATTTTGTTTATTTTGAAAAATTCCTAAAATATATCGTCCAAAAAGGTATGTACCTTACGTTATTCAAATGTATTCATGATATTTTTTAAACAGTATTTTGAAAACGCATTATACTTTTATATGTGATGGTATTATTATTATTATTCTTCTTCAAATGTGTTGTAAAATTAAAATAATTCAAGAAAATAACTCGTTTTCTTTTATCAACAGTTATATTTCAATCAAACTCATTTTAAAACCAAGTCTGGGGTAGCATTTCTAAACGTTAAAATAAAATAATACACAGGGTGAATCCTACGTTGACCACTTTTTTAACTGTGTATAGAAGTCGTTAAAATAAATATCTTTCAAATAACTTTTTTTAAAAAAACCCAAAATAAAGATACAGAATTTAAAAATCTAAATCCGAGACTGGACTTGTGTATAAAAAGTTAAGCTAGGTATGAATGTTGTTTATGTTTCTATCTTTTTTACACTTTTTCGCTTTTTTATCTTATGAATCACCTTTTATTGTGTGCCAATTATTGTAATTCAGTCACGTGTGATTTCAGTAGCGTGTTCATCTGAAGTAGTAAGTTTCAATTGTTTAATGTGGTAAATTATGACAATATATTGTTTAAAGTAAAGCTGCTACATCGGTGTTGTTCAGTGAACGCTTTCCCTTGCGAGACCATCCCTAGAACGCCAGATACATAATGCTTAGGTAGTCTGGTGGTCAGGTCATTGGTAATCCAGAGGGCGCGGGTTTGAGCCCCACCCGGCGCCGATCATTTTTTTCAATTTTTCAATTTTTTTTTGGTTTGTTATACCCCTCCGATCTTTCAAAAATAATTTAGTTACTTACCTTTAAACTACTTTTAACCAGTAGCGGCAGCTGTGACCAAAATATTGGGGGTTCACAATGAAAGAATATAGATCTCGGTACAAATTTAGGTAAAAAATACATATGACACTCAGGGACTGCCGCGATAAAGCTATTGCATAGCATTTTTTATCAACTTATGCAATTATAATTATTTATTTTATTTATGCAGTATTTTGTTTTCTTTGATATTAATTCAAGTTACACTTTTTGAGCGTGGTGACCGATAAGAAAACAATTTTTTTCTTTTATTGAATAAATGAGAAGTTAATTTTGTTTAAGGAGGTCCTTTCGCCACCAATGTTAAATAAAAAATATTAGATTATGAGTAAAATTTATTTTTTTTCTTATTTATCTAATGTTGAACCTTTAACTATACCTTACCGTGCAAATTTTTGAGAATTTTTTTTTTAAACATGTGAGTATTTGTACAGTGTCTTATAAGAAAATAAGACCTCAACAACAATTCTCGAATTATATTATTATTTATTGATTAGATGGAGTAGAAAAAAACTAAAAATAGGGTTTTTGGAATATTTAGGTTTTGTTTTTTACAAAAAAATATATAGGTTACCTTGGAATTTATTGAGAAATTAATATTAAACAAAAAATTTGAAGTAACCTAGTAGAAAATTTTTTGTGATTTTTAATATTAATTTCTCAATAAATTCCACGGTAACCTATTAATTTTATTGTAAAAAACAAAACCTAAATATTTCAAAAACCTTATTTTTAGTTTTTTTCTACTCCATCTAATCAATAAATAATAGTAAAATTAATTATAATTCGAAAATTGTTGTTGAAGTCTTACTTTCTCATAAGACACTGTACAAACAAACACATTTTTAAAAAAAATTTTTCTCAAAAATTTGCACGGTAAGGTATAGTTAAAAGTTCACTATTAGATAAATAAGGACTTCTACTATTAGAAAAAAATTAATTTTAGTTATAATCTAATATTTTTTATTTAACATTGGTGGCGAAAGGACCTCCTTAAAATATTTTTATTATCTTACAATACATGTAGGTTATTCAGGAATTTTTATCATTGAAACTATAGGTTTATAGTAACTGAAATAAGAAACATAATTTTGAGACTTGATATCCTCTAAATATCTGGAAAATACCTCGTCAATGATGGTCCCAATTTTTAAATTCAGTTTTTCAGAAATTGTGTCTAAAAGAGATAGAATCAGTTATGAGCAGTTAGTAGCTAGTCTACATGCATATATCTAGTCGCACGCACACAAACACCGTGCCGAAGTCTGCCGAACTGAAACGACGTTAGACGATGCACGGCTTTCAACGCCGCACCGCTGTGCCGATCAGAGTGGGAGCGTTAGGTTTATTTTCGTTACGGAATTTCTTTTTCGATTTTTCGATTTATCGATTTATCGATTTATCGATTTTTTGATTATTCGATTATTCGATTTTTCGATTTTCTTTTATTGAATAAATGAGAAATGAGAAGTTAATATTGTTTAACGCCGCATCGCTGTGCTGGTCACAGTGGGGGTTTTTGTTTTTTTTTTTGTTACGGACGTTACGGAATTTCTTGATTCGGTCGCCGCGCTCAAAGCCCGCGATAAAAGCTATGTAATAGCTTAAAAACTTTCAGTGTTTTAGGGTCGATCTTTTCACCTTCAGATAAAGTGTCAGGTAATTTTTATCTTCCAAGTAACTTAAAAAGTAATCTTTTCACCTCTGGATAAACTTAACTTCTAAATGATAAATTATCTTATTTATGAAATTTCTGATAAAATACTTCACTGATGGATAAGCAGGTAGGTACATGAACACATAAGGTTAAAAACTACTGGATACCTACCACACATATTATTTACTTGAAAAAATAGAAAATTAATTATCTGGCAGACAGTAACTCTCAGATAATATATCCGTCATTTAGTTATCTGGAACTTTATCTGAAGGTGAAAGAAAGTTATATTGTTAACACTAAGGGTTTTTACTTAAATATGTACTGATATTCTGTAGTTGTGAACCCCTAATATTTTGGTAACAAGCGGCCACTGCTTCTAACGACCTGCAAATAATTTAATATGAATAAGTTTAATAATATAATTTGTTTTTATTTCGTTTACTAATGCGGCGCCTTCCTTCATGTAAGGCCATAGATAAATTAATAAAACAATTTATCTATGTGTGAGGCGCATTGTCAAATCAAGCTGTCAAATAATGTTCAAACCTCAGAATAGAATATATATAGTCAGGAAGGAGAAATCCTAAACGACCTTGGAATCACGATGGTATCTAATTTGGACAGTGAACTAGACGAATATGGTGACAAGTGTTTCCGGTCTACCAGTGACGTACTGTCATAAAGGGGCGTAGAAAAGAAAATAATAAATTCTCATTTGCATATTATCTAAATTTACCGATTTCTCTTATTTTAAAGAATTGCTATTTTCTTGCGAGAAATTTGCATTTTTTTTTTGTTAACCTTCATTATGTGAATAAATTTTACTTTAAAATTGCATGTTGGGTGGGATAAATATAGGAAAATATTTTTGGGATAATTTATAGAGGAATTTCATTAGAAAAATCAAAGCAATAATGTATTAAAAAATATATATTGACTTTTTTACGTCTTTATTATGACAATGTCTTTATTAATCTACATTTTACAAATTATTAAGGTCCAGTTATGATGAGAGTCAATTTGTACTCTAAGGTATTTGATATCATTGCTAATACTTATATGAAACTACTGAACGTTACTTTTTATTATTTCCATAGGAAGAGGCCATTTTTTTGTAACTGCATAATGGAACAACATAAGTTTTATCAAAGGTTTGTAAGTTTTTATAATTAAACTATTCGAAATTTTTTATAAGATTTGTTTTTATTAATAATTTTAATCAATTCCAGTTCTCTGCATTATACAGAATAACTGTGTCGTCTGAAAAAATTACGATATTTCCATCTGTATTTAAACGACAAATTATTTAAAATAAAATTAAACAAGATAGGACCTAAGACAGTATCTTGAGGCATGCGATATGCCACTTATTTCCTTACTTGAGATATTATTAATTCTATTTGTGTTCGTTTTTGTAAATAACTTTGTAATAAATTATATAGGGTGTGTATCACATTCATGCAATAAACTTCTATTATACGAAAAAAACGGCACATGATATAGTTAGTAAATAATTTATTTACTTATATACTTCAACCGGACCACTTTTATTGTTGGGACAGCTATTGGTAGAAGTCTTAAATATGCTTAGTTTTGAGGTTCGATCAAAACAATCTGATTTAAAATGGCGTGAACACAAAACATTAAGATATTTTGGCTCACAATTTTTTTGTTGATTGAACCCAAGCCATAACTTTGTTTTTTAAGAATCTTTGGGAAATCTGAAAATTGTCTACCTGGGATTCATTTATATAATTTGTAAATCTAGAATCTTTAAGAAATCTGAAAATTGTTTACTAATTTATAAATCTAAATTAAACAATAATTTATTCATTTTAACAACCACATAAATATCTTAAAATTGCATAAAAGAATTGTTTAAATAAAAGTATGTATACCCTATAAACCATGAGACTACGCCTATGAGCACAGTTGATCGCAGACGCACCATGTTTGTTTACAAATTTAAAATATTAAAAAAATTTAAAATCTTTAATGTGGTTTAAAATTGAGAGAACAAAATACTTGCTTATGAAATGTAGACGATTCCTTTCCACTTTTAGCTGTGCTGCTATATCCACAAGACGAACAACTGACCATATTGTCTTGTTTGTCTTTTAACACGGAAAATTTAAAATTAACAGTAATACTAAATAAATACTAAAACACTAAACACTTTTTAAAAATGTCTTCAAAACATACACTTGATAAAAGTTAAAATTAACACATAAATCATCCAAATTATTAACAAATTTTAATCACTAAAATTATAAACCAATTTTAGAAACCATTTATCATATGATCCATAGTACAACATGGCTACCACTTCCGTCAGATCGATTAGATTAACACGGACATGCATGCTCCTTCCTGGGGCTCGATTCTCGAGATCATTGGAAAATTTCCCAAGTGAAAATATTCTACTACTTATATTCCCATAGTAATAGGTTATGCAATTCTCGAACGTGTCAGAATAGACATTCCCATGGAAATAGTAGTTTCACGTATGTCTGATATTAAGTCCACTAATATTTCGAAACAACCAAATAACATTAAAGATGTTTTAAAATTTACTGTTGGTATTATTTGTATTTGTTGTGGTTTTTAGGTATCCGATTACCTGCCGAGCCTCCGCGCTGGAGCAGGTGCCGTGCCGAGCAATCGCTATCATGATCGAGAAACAAGTGAAAATATTCGATTACGTATAATAATTAAAACTTGTCAAGTTATTCTTAGTTTTTCTTTTCTCATGTTGAAAAAAGAAAAGGTAGCTTTTGTATGGAAGAGCAACGAAAGTTTTGAGAAACTAAGAAATTCTTTCATTAACGAAAATAATAAAATTTTCGAAAAGGTTTTAATAAATTTACTTCACTCAATTTGTGTTATTTGCCAGTCCCTTATAGCAGCCCCCACAATTTCTAAATGTTTTAGGAAAATCAGTTTATACAGAATTAAAAATAATATACCTACATAAATAAAATAATATCAATCTATAAATACGCCAAAAAAATGTTTTAACTACAATTTCACAAATCCAAGATATCCAATAATCTTTGGTTATGTCTTAGACTTTCGCGTGGTCTTTCGTCAAATTTTCGACTTTAATGCGCAAACTCTAGTACAATTCCCATTGGAAAACACAATTTTCAATGCTCGTAAGCAGGGGAATATTTTCCCATACTTCTCATTGGAAAATATTCCACCGCTTATGTCGAGAATACGAAAACTGAATTCCCATCGGAAAATAAAATTTTCCCATGGGAATAAAAGTCGAGAATTTACCCCCTGGCTATATATGTTCTAAGATTACTTATACAGTGTTTCCAATTAATTGGACACACTGTATAATACAATACGAATGAAAGACATATTAAATAAATAAATACTTTTTGGTAATATATATTTATTCTTAAAGCTACAGTGGAACTTAGTCGCTAGTCCATTCCTTGCAAGAATTCTTCCAGACATTTCTCACGCATGTCGTTGATTGTTTCTGGGTGTTCTCGTACGCTCAAATCGTTGGTGGGAGAATTATTTAAATACAAAGATTCCACTTCGGGAAGTAGATTTGACAATGTGGGAGAAAACAGCTCTTTCGCTGGATCAGCGTATATTAATTTTTCGAAATCGTCTAAAAAAGAATAATAAACTAAATAAAATTACATATTTATAATGTTTAACGAGCAAGTAATGATACCCATTTCCTAAGAGTATGATACGGATTGAAACATATTGAAATGATAGGAAATGGACATACGTTGAGAGTTAAACACTATACTTTTTTACGACTTTAAAATGCTATCTATTTTTAGTTTTTATAATTAATTATAATAATTATTTATTGTTTGACATTTCATGGCACACATGATTTTATTAAAAGAATTAAGAAATTACTATTTTGTGCTATCAGATAAGGATCTGATATGAATATGATGATGATCAAATAAGTAAATGTACCTCATTTATTAATCAACTATAATTTAGAAAGTGTAGTCTTGTATTATACCCGTAGAAAAAATAATTCACAAGCATATAAGATTGTTAAAATGGTGAAAAAAATCGACATAAATATTCGAAAAACGAATCAATACAAACCTTGATATTCTGTATTTCTTACCTTTGTCTATTTGTCCATTGTTAGAATTGCTCAAAGAAACATTTCTTAAATCCGTTTTGTTATAACTGATCTCAATAAATCCATTGTTATTTAATAAAATAGATTTTTTCTGTAACAGAATATTATCTTCATCTATACTATCATTGGTGAAACTCCCGTTCCTTTGCGGAATCACACTAATACTCCCAGTATCAAGATCAACGTTCATTATACATTTGGGGACAATTACTGCATCTTGGAGCAAGTTCGGGGCAGTTATATGGTTGGTCTGGATGTTTAATATTTCCTTTGGGACATTTTGGGAAGTAAATGGACAATCTTCAGTTTTTTGGGAAATATTTGGTGAGGTGCTAGTCGGTTCTGGAGTGTGACTGCCAGGTGAACTTGTTAGACATTTGTGGGATTTTTGGCTGACTTTATATCGAAAACTTTTGTCGCATGTTGTACACTTGTAGGGCATCGCTCCTGTGTGAATTCTCCTGTGGACTAAATAGGATACCCTTTGTCTGAAGCACTTGCCTAAAAGAATTGGAAAATATTAATAATTGCATTAGTAGCACCGTTTAATAGTTTTTCGGATATTTATAGACATGGCATAAAAAAATCACAAAAAGTATTACGATCCTTTTCATCTTTGTTGGTGTCACAATCATAGAAAATATAATCCTAGAGTTGGGAGTAAAATAAATTGCCTTATAATTACCAAAGGTCCAATAAGTCACTAAATAATTAAAATATTATATATTTGTAATAAGGGAATAAAGGTCTACTTAAAATTATAAAAATATATAGGGTATCCCATAAAAAAAATTGAAATAATATTTTGTTGGGGGCGCCCTGTATATAGAATTCTGCAAGTTATTATATTTTTACTCGGTTCAGATAAAATAATAAAGCTTTTACTTGAAACTTTTTTTTGTGTTCGCAATAATAATGAAAATAAGTAGTGGTCAAAATATAATGAGAAACCCTGTACATGTACCTCAATAGTACCAAGAAGAATACACATTAAATTTAAAATATGACCTTTCTACCGGGCCTGGTGGTCGTCGTTAGGACACACAATTCTCAAAATTTAAAAAAAAGAAATGTACATGTACCTTAATAGTACCAAGAAGAATTCACATCAATTAAAATCGTTCATTTTCAGTCACGTGCATCGGCATATCCAATCAGCTCTGACTTACACTGATAAGTTCCCTAGTGGTTTATCACTTAAGTAAAGTTTGCACCAAACAAAACAATATATAGCAACTATTACGTCTATTTTTAATCCGCTAAATGATAAAACTCAAAATTGGACATTCCGTCTAATAACTATTTTAATAATTATTTATTAAAAAGGTTCACGGTAGAGACAGTAATTCATGACTTTTTGCTCCTTTTTCCATTCCATTATCAATCAGTATTTAATACCAACATTAATCTGGTGTACCCCATATGTAAACCAGGTTTAATAATATGACATTTCTAAAAAGTTAAACTTTGACACTTTCAATTTTTTTTTAAATGTCTGGATTTGGTAAAATAATAATCAAAATATTGATATACATAAGAATTGGGAAGTAAAGTAAATATGAGAAAAAAAGATACCGACTTTAAGGAATGTACAGTCAACTTATTACTTTCCTATCTGTATACAGATATAAGGAACGTATAGGAATCATGATTTTTTTAGACCTCGAGTTTTCGACGAATTTTTACGTTTTGAGGTCCCCTGAATCCATTTTGACTATTTTCGCAATGATGTCTGTGTGTGTGTTGTGTTGTGTGTGTGTGTGTGTGTGTGTGTGTGTGTTGTGTGTGTGTGTGTGTGTGTGTGTGTGTGTGTGTGTTGTGTGTGTGTGTGTGTGTGTGTGTGTGTGTTTGTGTTATATAAAATTTTCCTAGACTGGTTCGTATTCGAGAAATTTGACAAAATAAAAAAAAAATATTTTTTTATAAAAATTGTTCAAATAAAAGTTCTTTGTAATATAATTCTCTATAATTTTTATTCTATACATGATTTCTCTAAAATGAACCGTATTCGAGATATTTGAGAAAATGTGTAAATTTCGAATTTTGAAGAAAACTTAAAAACGGATAAAGAAGAAAACATTAAATTTTAAACAAAAATTTTATTTCGGCCTAACGTGAAATGATTAAATTTTGGACAAAGTCGGGGTGGGGTGTACTTTATAGGAGGCTGTTTTTATATTTTATGGAATATGTCTCTTATTTATGTTTGGAGAAGAAAATTGGTCAAATAAAAGTTACTTTTAATATTATATCTATAATTTTTGCTTTATGTCAAAATTTCCTGAAATAGTCCGTATTCGAGAAATTTTACAAAATGTGCAATATTCTGATTTTTATGAAAATTGTTGAACTAAAAGATCTCTATAATTTTTGTTTATATATGATTTTTCTAAAATGGACTGTAATGGAAAAATTGGAGGAAGAGTGCTAAATTTAAATTTTTCAGTATTTTCGTTTTCAATGAATATCTATAGAAAAATGTTTTGATGTAGATGTATGGGAAAATGTATATATTTAGTTTATCCTCTAAATATTTATAGAGGTGCTGCAATAGGTTGTACAAAATATCCGGAAAAAGCCTATAATAACTAGATAGGAAAGTCATGTAGACATGGGTAACGCAGCGCTGCGTTGCGTTATTGCGTTAACGCAGTTGTATGCGTTACGAGCGTTGATACACCAGGGGGTCGATTCTCGACTTGTAGGAACCTTTTCCTATAGGAATTTGTGACACTTTCCTATATGTAGGAATATGTCATAAATTTTCGATGTATGTAAAAATGTCAAAAATTCCTATAGGAAAATATTCCTACGAGTCGAGAATCGACCCCCAGTTGTTACTGTATCAGCGCAACGCAATTTTCGATACTGAGTCGAAAGGATCGCGAGTTGTTGGTTCGCCATGCGCCAGGAACTGATTCCGTTTTCTGTGACGAGTTGAGAATTTTAATTTACGTAATTGATGCAACATGTCACATCATTTGTAGGATTGTAGGTCGAATTTTATGAATTTTAATCTTGTACACTCAATTTTTATTTCTTCCCAATTTGATTGGCTACTAGTATACAAAATTTATATCATTTTTATATAAATTGGAATTTTTGTATTTTTTGTAAAATCCGAACACAATGAAATAAAAAAATGAGTGCATTACACTGTTATATTTTCGTTTATTTTTAAACATATAATAAAAAAAAAATTAGTTAAATTCCCAATTGCGTTATTGCCTTGAACACGGTTTGACCCTTATAAAAGGACAGCCCGCGCTGAATAACACCGGTATCATGCGATACACCGAGGTGCATCGACTTCATTCGGCGCAGGCAGTGGTGTGACGCAATAACGCAATTGCGTTAACGCAATGAGTTGGCGCAATAGAGTGCGCCGGAGTTAGTGTATCAACGCAAAGAATTTTAGTGCGTTACCCATGTCTAAAGTCATGTGTTGGACACATCAGATTTTTACTATCGGAATTTAGGAAAAGCCGAGAGTATGATTATGGGAATCCCATTACAACCAGTTAATTTTAATCAATGGAGGCACAGTCCACCCGATTAGCTGACAGAGCCGTATTTAAGAAATATTTGTAAACGGCATGCCGCGGCATTTGATTTCCAAAGCGCTTTAACAGACAACGATAGATGATCGCAATAGACCTTTTCATAACAATTTTTTTTGTGCGCATGCGTCAGTTTCAGCCATCTTTTTCGTACTGTTTTTGTAAACAAGTATGTTAAAATGCTTACGTGAAAAAAATTATAATTGATAAATATTAATTTAAGTCTATATTCATTTAAAAAAAGGAAGAAAAAAGTAAAGTAATAATAAGTTTAGTGTCTTAATTGAAAAATACATTTTCACAATTAATTATAATTATGTTATCTGTACGGAAAGGAATAACAAAACAGTGTTGTTATGTAAAAGTGACACACGGTATAAATCATTCAAAGGCAATAGATATTATTTTATAAATTTTCCAAAGCCTTAACTGCAATATCGTAAACAATTATCAGGCAAAATCCATATTAAAAGATATTCTAAATGTGCATTAAGTGTGAAAAAATATGGTCGAAGTGACAACGGTTTTCGATGGATTAATGATGTTACTAAAGATACTTATATTTCACTGCATTTTCATGGAGAAAGTGGTCCAACAGAAGAAAATTCTCATGTGGTATTAAACAATATTTTTTTAATATTAAATAATACTTCGGTATACACATTAAATGATTAAAAATGTCATGTTGATCCACAAAATAATAAATAATTTATTTTATTAATTATACTCGTGATTCACTTTCATGCTAATTAAAGTGTTTTTGCAAGTAGTAATAGTTGGTTGGCATAATTAATTAGAATAAAGTTATAATTATTATTTGTTTTCATTAATTTTTTACAGAGTTAAAAAGTATTGATACACCTAACCTCTCAATTAGTCCACTTTGTTCCTTTGTAACAAACATCCAAGACACTTCAACCTCCTTTTCAACTGCTCACAACTATGCGCTTCCACAGAGTTATAAAAAAGTTATTCACTATCAACGATTTTTTCTAATGATTAATTTTTCTGTAGAGATAACATTGCTTTCCCAGCCATTGTCGATCAAAACAGTACGAAACTTTTGAATTACCGCTATTTCAACATGGTGGCTGCGCTTGCGCTCATCACATGATGAAAAGGTCTATTAGGCATTCCAAACAAAATGGATACCAGTAGGTTTTGACAGGTTATGATATACCAACCCTGTAGGCCTGGTGATTTGACAGGGTCAATGAAATAGATAATCATATAGATTGATCATACATGTATTTCAAAATGAACATAAGCTTATGCCTTAAAGTGAAAATGTAGGTAATTATTTTTTTTACTATATTCAATGGCTGAAAATTGGTTTGTAAACACATTTTTGCTAAACCGATTCTGATTAATGAATACTTGCGAGGCAAAATGGCCACTCGCAAACGACTCCCTTTGAGCAATCTATATAACTACATATGTATCATTGACCCTGTTAATGACAAAAGGTCCACAGGGTGATCTTATCTAAACTGTCAATTCCCACTTGTCAGCATTTTGACAGGTCGTTGGAATGTCTAATTAGGCATTCCAAACAAAATGGGTACCAATGGGTTTTGACAGGTTATGATATGGCAAAATTATGGCAACCCTGTAGGCCTGGTGATTTGACAGGCACAATAATGACATAGCTAGTTATATAGATTGATCATCCATGTTTTTTAAAATAAACAAGCCTATGCCACGACATGCCGTGTCTAAACTGTCAGTTCCCACTTGTTAGCATTTTGACAGGTCGTTGGAATGCCTAATTAAAAATATTCCTTTTCTAATTTTGACATAGAAAGTGACATTTTTTTGTAATCGCAGCAAGTGTCAAAATGATCTATTTTACGCAACTACGCAACCACGCAACATGTTGAACATTATGAAACAGGTTTCCAAAAAGTCATTGTTGCCAGTTACGAAAAGAAAACAAATAAAATATAATAGCTATTTATATAACCAGTTACGAAATGCCTTATTTTGTGTAACGAGTAAATATTTGCGGGACGAGCGGAGCGAGGTACCACAAAATGAACGAGTTACACAAAACGGCATTTCGTAACGTGTTACATACAAGATTTTTTTGACTTGATTATTGATAACATTGTGTTTGGTTAAAAAATGATTCATCATCATTTTTTTGCAGGTACATCTAATCAAATATTTCAGAAAATTGTTGTATTTGATTGCCCTAGGACGTTTTTTTTTTTTTAATAGTATTAATAAAAATAAAGGACATGTGCAGTGTTGCCGATCTGATTTTAGACATTACCCGCGGGAAATTTGAAAAAAAAAAAACGTTTTTACCCATTATCCCTAAAGGAGTACGTAAATTTTACTCTCAACATTTCTGGGCAGTTTTCAACAATGTCCATATTTTGCATTTAATGTGTATTCACTCTTTCTATGATGAAAATTTCTTTTTTGTACTAATGAGGTCAATCTACTTCGATTTATAAAATATCGAACTTTTTCTTGCGAGCTATGTTTATTTTGTAAATAAGTAATTTAATGTGTATACCTAATTAGTGGCACAAATAAGATTTAACAATATAAAGTGGTTCTTTTAAGTTTTGAGTAGTTTATTTAAAATAAAACATACCACAAGTTTCACAGACGAATGGTCTTTCTCCGGAATGTATTCTTGCATGATTTTGCAGGGTCGATAGCTCTTTGAAGGCCCTTCCACATTCATTGCACGTGTGAGGTTTGTCTGACGAATGATATAGCATGTGTTTGTGATAGGACTGTTGAAAAGTGAAGGATTTGTTGCACAGATTACAACAATATGGCATTTCACCTGAAAAAAGTAATTTATAATATAGTATTTACCTGGATTACCTACTTCTTCGTATTGAAATGAAACTCTTTATGAAGTTAGATTTTAATCAAATGTTTGGATTTGAAGGTAGTGAAAGGGAATTTCCATCTTATTTTTATATTTGATACCTCTGGAATATTTAAATATTTCTTGGAAGTTGAGTAATTTAGTTCCAATCGTCTTTCGTCGGATACTTAAAGAATTCAGTTGTTTACAAAACAGAGTACCTACATTTTATTTTACAAGGGGATATTGGTATATAGTTAGCCTGCAGAGTCTAGTGAACAAAATTGAATATGATTACAATGGTGTTATAAAGGTTGACATTTATAATGTCGTGCGAGCCATTTTCAATCAGCCGTTCCTACACTATGCTATTTCCAGGCGATTGAGAGACCCTCTCGAATCAAGAGTATCGTCATTGTCATCGCATCTGATAGAACGGGGATTCTCAAAGTGATTGAAATAGTAATTTAAATCATTGTCGTGTGTAGTCTAGATGTTATATTTTTCGAAATTTCGTGAAAAAAAGCAGCCAACATTCAAAAGAGTTATTATTTGAGTAAATAAATAATTTATTCGTACACTTATTGTAGGTATATAACGTGCACGATCGCACTACGAAATATGTCAAATTCTAATATTTTTTTAGCATTGTGCTGTGTTATCGTATTCATAATATTTTCTCCTATTGTATTTAATACAAAAACAATTGGTTGTTCCAATAAAATTCATTATTGTTTAATTTGAAATTTTTTCCAATTTTCCTAATAAATTAAAGTTTAAACTTAAAAAATAATTTGTTAATTTCAACAATTTATTTCTTTCCATGAAAATATTAAGTTTGTTTGTTTTTTCCACCCTTTCAGGCTTCCTCCTATGGGATTCTGGCAGGCTCGCCTCGAGCTGGCTTGGGTCCAGACACTGGCTTCCATCAATCAGACTTACGTTTCAGCCAGTCTTTCCCTCTTTTGGGGTTCGCATGGCGGCACTGTAACCTCAGTAACTTATTATACTAGCATTTCGATGCCCTACACCTTCCCATTTATTCTACTCATGGATTCTACTCATATTAAATGCCACCGTTTAAATCGGCCCCGAACTCCTATAGTAATGTAATAAGGAACGGTTTTTTTACATGCATTACAATTAATATTTAATTGATTAAATTAAATAAAAATCCTTGTCACCGGTGGGATTTGAACATGAGACCCTTTGATCTCAAAGTCATAACCCTTACCACTATTATTATTGAAATAATTTGAAAATTCGGAAACAAATCTCAAAAATCCCCCTACGAATTATTAAGAGCATCACCAAACCCCATAAATAAAAACAAATCTAAAGAACCAGCGCAAATGCTCAAATTCGTTTACTTAAAAATCGCCACGCCCATTCACAATTTGAACCTTGTCCTTGCTTACGGTCAGTAGCGTAACGACTAAATCATTGTTTGTTTCTTGTTTCTGTGTTTTGGTTAAAGTGACTGGTTTTATTTTTGATAATGTCTTCTATTGTGGGTAAAAAAAGCGCAGATCTGTTATTAACGGACAAAGTCTTGAAGTAATATACAATGTTTTTAAATATTTTGACGCAACAAAAAAGGAAGGAGTTACTTTAGATGATATCAAACTTCAAACGGCACAAGCAACAGGTAAACATACTCTGTAGTTTATTTGCAATTAAACTTGCGTAGTTTTCCATATTTTTTGTATTTTACAGACATATCTATGCATTTTATTTTTGATTAATATTTTATATTTAAATTTTTAAAATTTATCTTGTTTCTAAAAATTTTTGTTTCCTAATAAATGTAAAAAAATACTAAATTTATCATTAATATTATATTACGTTTTTAGAGGTGTTTCTTATACTATCGTTAAAAGAATTTTGAAGGAAGACAAACAGTCAATGGAAACAACTGGAAAAATTACATTTTCCACACATAGGAAAAACTTCGTCAAAAAATCAACCGCTAGAATCTCCCTAAATATCAATTGAGGGACATTCGAAGAATAATTTACGATTTTCATATGACAGAAAAGTCTCGTCTTACTGTTAAAAGGTTAAATAATAAAATTAAGGAAGATAGATATCCACATATCAGAAACTTCATTAAGAAGAGTCCTTAAAAAATTACAATTTAAATGGAGAAAAACACAAAGTAATCGTAAAGTTTTGGTGGAAAAAATGAAAATAAGAACTTTAATAGTAAAATATTTGAGACAGATAAAATATTTTAGAAGTCAAAATAGACCAATCGTTTATTTAGATGAAACATATATACACAGCGGACATACTCCTTCCAAGAATTGGACAGACGATTCAACAAAAGGTTTGTTTTCTGTTATTTCTGTCATGAATTCGTAAGCCGACCCTGTATACACACACAATCAACTCGTGACCGAAGCAACGCTGACGTGTGGAAGCAGCCGGACCGCTTTCGAACGTCTGCCGCTAATTCACTCGAAACATCTGGAATGGCGGGGGAGTGCCGTTTAATCATCTTCGCGAAGTCTCTAGCATTTTCCAGAAGCGGAGTTAGACGACGTATCAGCGCCAAGTTAAGTTGAATATGGAACGTTGTATTGAAAAGTAAAACTGTAAGAAATAAATTAGAATTGTTAGTTAGTGTTATATATATTATACAGTGAGCATCATAAGTCTTACCCCCCCTAACTAACTCGTTACTGGGGTCTTGTTAGGAAAATCGCCGAGACAGGTCGATTTTTGTTTTCTACAGTGTACATTTTTGTATGATTAGTTTAGCCTTAATTTCATCCCTTACTGGAGGGGAACAACCCTTTCGAAAAATTTAAATGGCATGGGGTGGTGAGTGATAGCTCATTTGAAAGAGGGTTTTATTCTCTATTCATGTAAACAATTTTGAAATTTGCTTCATTACGTGTTGATTTATTAATGTTTAAAAATAACAAAACCTCACAAAATAGGAAAGCAACTAAACTAATAGTGACCTTCTAATGGCAAAAAGTCTTACTTCACGGCTGAACCAAAACCGAAATCATGTAGGGCCGAATTTTAATTCTAAGGATGAGTGCGCTACGTTAATTTCCGTTATTCTGAAACAACAATTAGTCGAGAATTAATGAAGCAAATTTCAAAATTTTTTACATGGTTGAATAGAGAATAAAACCCTCTTTCAAATGAGCTATCACTCACCACCCCATGCCATTTAAATTTTTCAAAAGGGTTGCTCCCCTCCAGTAAGGGATGAAAGCAAGGGTAAACTATTCATACAAAAATGTACACTGTAGAAATCAAAAATCGACGTGTCTCGGCGATTTTCCTAACAAGACTCCAGTAACGAGTTAGATAGGGGGGGGGGGGGGTAAGACTTATGGTGCTCACGATATAAATTAAATAGTACGTCTGAAATAAATTGTAAATAGTGTGTTTTTAAATAAATAAGACTTTCGACACATTTCTAAAGGCCAAAGGCTTATTATAGATCACGGTGGGGGAGAAATGGATTTTATCAAAAATAGTTTGTTGATATTCAAATCAGGGACCAAGTCTGGAGATTATCATTCCGAAATGAATTCGGAAAATTACGACAAATGGTTAAGAGAGAAGTTAATACCTAATCTTCCACCTAAGTCAGTAATTGTTTGTGATAATGCTAGTTATCACAAAGTACAGACAAATCGAGCACCTAATTCCAATTCTTTGATGAATGATATGATCGAATGGTTGACAAAATACAACATACCTTTTAATCCAACAAGTTTGAAACCAGAGTTGAACCAATGTTACCTTTAAATTAGAAGACGTAAAACAATTAGCAGAAGAAGAATTTAATAAAATCGGTATGGAGGAATGGAAAAAGAGATGCGATCATGTTATAAAGGTAGAAGATAAATATTTTGAAAGAGAAATATGTTTGGAAATTAATCCAATCGTCATTAATCCCAATGAGGATTCCAGTGACGACAGTGACGAGTCTTCTTCCAACGAAGAATCTGACGAAGACATATGAACATTATTTATTTGTGATTTACTGTTTACGTTGTTTGTATTTACTTATAGGCTATATAAGTGGTAAGTATTTAATACCATTTTATGTCAATTTCTTGATAGTTTCGGCCTTTACTTGATGAAAATCCATATTATTAAAATGAGAAAAACCAAACATGGTAAATTTTCACACTTTTATTTAAAGAAATAAAAATTAAAAATTGCACAATTGTTTCTAAGTACAACTTCTTCTTCAAATGTGACTCATTTACATTTCTAATATATATACAAAATAAACTAATTAGTTAAAGTAGGTACTTAAGAAAAATATATTAATAAAATTCCAATAAGATATCATTACCGGGGTTATCTCACAGAAAACTAAGAACAGGTAAAGAGATTTAATTAAGCTCAGTTATTAATATCTAATTGATCACTTAAGAGGATATTTGAATTTTTAAATCTATTTATTTCAAGTGTTTCTAAATAGTTTAATTTAATATGCCTTTATTCTCAAAATGTAAAACAATTTTTGCATAAACGATTGATTTTCAGAGAAAAATATGTTTCGTAGAATTATTTTTGTTTTTAGTATAACTATTGTAAAGTTTTAAAAAGCTTTTTTTTTGAAAGTACGGCTCGTTTGACTAATATACAATTTTACCACAATTTAATTTATTTGAATAAGGATAATTTCCTGACCGTAACAGAATTTTATATAAATACCGAACGGAAAGCGGTAGAACAGCCTTAACCTAAAGTCGGCTTATTTAAAAATAATAATTTTTTAATTGACTATATAATTATGTACTAATAATAACACAGAAATATGTATGAAAAAGTATCATTCACTATTTTCCATTTATTTTATGTCTTAAAATATACGCGCCCCTAGTTTACAACTTTCTAGGTAAGCTACCAATTCTATTCATCGGTAGGCATGTTCGTAGCATTATAAATGCGCGTCCTTGGTTCTTTAGATTTGGCGTTTACTTGTACCTGGA